GAAAAATTTTTGTAAGTCCATTACACTCAAAAGTAGAAAAAATCAAAGTCTTTATCCTGCGCGAAGCATGTTAAAGTCTTTTTCCCGACGCTGAAGCATGTTAAAGTCTTTATCCAACCGCTGCCACCAGTGTTGCGAAAAACTTCTCTTTTGTGAAAAGCTTTGTTTATTCATTTTTTTTTCGCTTAAAAGTCAACCATTTCTCTATGCTGGTATAATGAACAAGTCAAGTCCAAGTGAAAGCAGGATTATATTTATTGCAGTAAATCAAAATAATGCATCATTTTATTCTCTATCAACAGTCAAAACCAAAGTAAAATCCTTAACAACTTCAACAAATACATTTCTGCAATTACTAACCAACTCAACCAACTCCCAACTCAAAACCCCAACTACTCCAAAAAAACTCCTCAAAAACCAACCCCAGTAGAAAAGTTTCCAGCTTATATACCCTCTGTTTGCGCAGCTAGGGTGGTGTGCAAAAGTAGATTGTCGCGCGACCCACTTGCGCTAACCAGTTTGGCACAGGGCAAACTCATTTCGCGACCTGAATGTTGGCGCAACCTATTTAAAGTGCTGACAATGCCTTAAACAATGTTCAAAATGGCATCAACTGGTTCAGGTATTACAGACTGTGTACAATAAAAACATAAGTACAAAAATACATAATAGTTTTATAAAATTTACATGTTTAAACTCAAAAGGGCATAATTATTATCTGTCAATAATGCAACTTAATACATGTAATAGTGCAAAATATACTTGCATTTAATAAAAGATATATGTAACCTATATATGGGTTATAATACCCCAATACACTTACTACTGATTGAAATTCTGTAAACTTATAATACTGACTGATAATTCATTAAAACAACAGAAATATAATCTCTCCAGCTTTACAACAGTACGGCTCAACATTTGAACCAAGTAACCTGTACATATTTTATAAAGCAGTAAGGATCCCTTCATAAAAATCTGTGATATGACCAAATTTTATGCTTTGTTAACAACAATTGAAGATGCTGAAGGCTAAAAATAACTTAAACCTTGTATTTTTAATCTGCGCGACCTCTTATTGCGCGACCTCTCCATATTTGGGAACTAGCATGCCTGGAAAAAGCTGATTCTGCGTGACCTTTCCTATTGCGCGACCTTAAAGTGTCGCGCGACCTTGCGGCAACCTTTTCCAAATTTGGAATGAGGTATGCTCATAATCTAAAAATAACTGAGCTGTGCCAATAATCTGGACTGTTAATGACTCAATTGTTTTACAACAAAAATGAATAAAAGTTAACATAAACATTTTAACCAGCTTAGAAATGTTGTCCAGATATACCATCCTAAAAGAATACTCTTCTAGTAAAAGACTAGTTTCAAATTTCATAACAATATTTTGAAATTTACACTTAAAATCATAAATGGCTTTTGCCCTTTTTTGAATTGTAAAAATTAAATTATAGCAAAACAAGTTTGAGATAAATGTGCAATAATTACTCGCACATAATAAATTCGAACATTATTTATCATGATAAGTTAAATATGTGTCGGGCATGAATATTGAATGCAACGTTTAATAAATTCATAAATTGTGATTGTTTTTATAATACAGTTCATAAATTTCTAAAATGTCTATTATATACTTTCTTATCTACAGCGTAAAATTTCCTGTAAATATTCATAAATATTTATGTCTTCTTGGTAGCAAAGTTAATACGCAGATACGCATCTATAATTTTAAAATACATTCAGCTTACTAACATTCAATATTAACATTTACAGTCTATATATTTAAACTTTAATCGATTATGATTTTTATCTCATTTTATTTAGGAAACAAATGTTGTCTAACAAATAAACGGTATGATGATTAAAGGTACAATATACCTCGGAAATAAGGGCAAATAATGTTTTTTTTATAATGTTTCAATATTGCTTTAATTAAAAGAATGTTAGATGCTTATTATCTGAAAAAAGTAACGATAGATGTGAACTTATTTTTCATAAAAGAAGCAAAATGTAAACAAAGTAGTATTTTCACTTCTAAACAAAATACTAATTCACTATTACTGTACTTATTGCCAAAAAACAACAAATGAACAAGATGGTTCAGGTAATTGGCCAATTAGTAACTTTTTGGATACTATTAAAAATACGTCAAAATTAATAAAAAAAAATGAGAAATAAAAATACAAGCATTTCTGAGGCATAATGGGCCTTTAAAGACTTTTTAACTTACTAACTGAATCAAAAAAGATTAGCCTTTGACACCATTATAGAGCCTGACTGTTGTGATATTGTTGTAATACTGCAATATATGTGTTTGTAAATATTTTTGATTTTTTCTTTACTTTCTCACTTTATATGGTAAAATTGTAATTATAATAATCCTTGTATTATATGTAGGTATGAGAGGACTGCCATGAGCTATTGCAGCTCTCGGTCCAATTCCTTTCTGCTTTAAATTGTGAATTATTAACATGTGCACTGTTTTATATCTTGAATAGAAATATGTTTGGCTCATTTTTTCTGGGGTTTACTTATTGCGGCGATAGAGAAAGGGCTAACGATTCAGATGCTCTTTCATTGGTTACTTTTTATGGGGTTTCATGAATATTACATGTATTATGACGACAAGGAACGTGTTTTTAATTTTGCCGAGGATACAAAAGAGAAACAATATCAAAACAACATCGATGATTCGAATTGTTGTTTCTTGTGTGTTCGTGTAGTTTGTTAAGAATTTCTTAACATATGAACTATAGTATACGTAGTAATCTCGAGATGGGATCTCCTTTCAACAGAGGCTGATTAATAATGACAAAATTAATATACCTTTTATTATTTAAGAACTTAGTCGACATGGAGAAAGAGACCGCATGCGCCTTGAACTCACTAACTGGTGAACTGGCTGGGATATATTACTCACTCGCAGATTTGGACAAGGCTACAAAAGAACAATTGATAACTGACCACTATCTCTATAGACACGATGACGAGTATGTATACACGATGTTTTGTTGTTTGTTTTTGCTTTGACTTCTGTTAAAGTTACCTTTTATATTTATTTACAAGACAGGTAATTTGGTCGTTAAGTCATTAGAAGAGCTTCAGCGTAAATAGAACACACGACAATTATCAAGCAACGGAGAAAGAAGGTTTCTTATTCTTTTTTTTTTCTTCTTTTCTTTATCGCTATCTTGGAAATATTTCCTATAATTTTAAATTTATACTTTGAAAGCTTACTGCAATAATAACATAACTACGCTTCAAATTACGTAGTGGCAGAATATCCGGTATAACATCGTTTTGTCCGACATAACATCGAATTATCCGACATAGCATCGTATTGTCCGACATAATATCGCATTATCCGATATAACATCGTATTGCCCGACATAACATCGTATTGTCCGACATAAAATCGCATTATCCGATATAACATCGTATTATCCGATAAAACATCGTATTGTCCGACAAGGCATCGTATTATGCGACATTACATCAAATTAACCGACATAAGATCGAATTACCCGACATAGCATCGTATTATCCGATATAACATCGTATTGTCCGACATAACATCGTATTATTCGAAATAACATCGTTAATTTATTTATACGGCCACCACCATCAAGATATATCATTTACAGACAGTCACAGAAATTTACAAATGTACTTCATAGTCTCACTGCAATAAATGTATGTGCATCATACAATAATGTCTGTGAATTTCTGTGAATATCCATCCCGAAAATACAGTGAGGCACAAAAATATCGAAATTAAACACTTTATCAATATGAATATACACACAATTGTGTATTAATTTTTTTATTGATTTTAGAACGTTGAGAGATGCTGGCCTTTATAAATTCTGGGACAAAGGAAGGGGCATCTTCTTTAATGAAGCTAAAACATTCATATGTTGGGTGAACGAAGAGGACCATATACGATTAATCTCCATGGAGACAGGAGGTGATATAGCGTCCGTATATTTACGCCTTGTAAAGGTAATATTAATGGTGTTAGTTCAAATAGTAATTTATCATTGCATATACGATGAAAGTCACGTACGAACACACACGAGCGCGCGCAGACATATGCACGCATACACGCACTGTTTTCATAACGAGCCAATATTTCCGTCTATTAATAAAATGGCAATGTTTGATATACATTACCTAACAAGAAAATCACGCGGAATCAACAAATATATATTAAAATGACGAGGTGGAAAGGTATATCAATTTAAGATGACACAAAGTACTTTTGTGTGTTTGTCTAATATCTCATCTTAATTCCGGACATGAAATAAATTATGCTTGCCCTTTTTAATATTTCGCGCGTGCGCGCGTTCTTTTTTTGTTCTTTTCAATGTTGTTTCGTCTGTTAAAAAGTTAAAAAAAAAACATATTTCAGTTTTATTAAGTTATTTTCACTTATTCATTTTATCACGATGTTTTCATAAGGTTATTCGAGAGATGGAAAAAAGGCTGACCTTTGCTAAGAAAGAAGGTTACGGATTTTTAACTTTCTGTTCAACAAATCTAGGAACAACATTGCGTGCTAGTGTTCTAATGGCAATTCCGAACGTTTGTAAACAACCCAACTTCTTGGACGTCCTAAAAAAGTACAACATACAAGCAAGAGGTCTGTATACAAAGAGATACACGTCTAATTCATTACCGTATTCAATATTTTATAATTGTATTTTCATAACAGAACCAATTATTTCACTACTTATTACCAACTCCGGGTGCTGTTGTTCTCTTTAAAACTGCATGCATACAATATTATTTCTTTATGTAGCCATTTCTAGGTCTTAATGAATATTATTTTTGTTAAAACAAAAATAAACTTTTAAAAAGGATAAATGAGCGTTTCGTTTTTGCAACGGATACGTTACACAAATGATTAACTAATTTTTTGACTGATGCTTTTTACTTAACAAGAGCTTTCAGTAGGACAGCGTGCTCGACTATTCTCAGTGTCTGATAGTAAAACCATATATTTTCCCATGTTAGAGTTATGAGCCTTAGACAGTGACCTGTTATACTCTAAATGTGTGACATTTCAATTATTTTCTAAAACAAATTGTGACGCCGACGCCGGGGTGAATGCAATTGCTCTCCCCATTCTTTGAATAGTCGAGCTTAGAATCTTCACACTAAAAATTTAACGTAAATACTATGCCCTATGATTTCATTTTGATGGAAATATGTTGAAAAATTATAGTCCGAAACCGCTTCAAATCAATTGAAATTAAGTGATACATTAGCGGTTTTTTTATTCTGTTATTTTTAATTGAATTATGTAAGAAATATTTTTTATAACTAACAGGCACCTGGGGATTCGGTTCTGCGAATGTGGATGATATATACGACTTGTCTAATAAGCGCCGACTCGGTCTAACAGAATTCTCGGCTGTAACAGAAATGTTGCGCGGCGTTCGTGCTATCAAAGAATGGGAAGAGGAACTTGCTAGCATGAACAAAAAAGACAAATAGATTACTTATAAATACTTTATTAAACCAAACAATAAATTATAATACAAATTTTACAATTTCCTTAAAGGTATGTGTCTTCATCTTAATACAACTGCAACTGCTACTATACACTATCACTACACATGTGCTTCTGTACGTGTACTTATATATAATAACAATAATAATTACAATTACAAAAAAGTATATTTTTATTTCTGCAGTAATAAAGAACATAAAACATGTAACAGAATGCTATACTAACATAACACCAATGGTACCAATGTTTAGGAACAAAACTTGTCATTTTGGTATTTAAATTGCAGACAGACTAGAGCTATGGACGATTTGGCAAGTCTTTGTTAACGTCATACAAAATGACGACCATGGTCTGATATTCATTGGTGTAATTGTCATATCAGACTGAAATTTTATGATATTTGTACAAAATGTACAAAACTGCTGATTTGCAAAGAAATATGTTTTGGTTGAGTTTAACGTCGCACAAACACAAAATAGGTCATATGGCAACTTTCCAGCTTTAACTGGTGTAGGGAATACCTAACAAATGTATTTTGGAATAAAAATATATGAATAACAATAAATAGTATAACACTGTTTAAGTGGTTCAAGATAATGATATGGGTAAGAACAATAAGTCGATGGTGAACATTTGTATCATCAGATCACAATTGGTACAGCTGTTTATTATCTTACCAATGGCACATATAAAATCCGCACATTACCAATCAATGGTACCAACTGTAATAAATGTAACCGATGGTCTTTCAGTATTGTTACCTGTGGAAATACTCATAACAATATAATTATATACATGATCATGATAATAAATAATACGTTGCATTGTTTTGAGGCTTGTACACGTCTAAACAGAGAAAACTAGAACGAAAATATGTGAATAAGTGAAAATCTTGATTCATATTGAAAAAATATTTAAATGATAATTTGAAATAAAAAGTTTCCTCCACAAATTATATTTGTGTTCAAAATTTGCTAAACTAGATCATTTATAGTAGAAAAATGTGTTCTTACATACTTTGGATAAACCATAAGTTATAAGCAAAAAGTGCAAGAAATATTTAACAAAGTAATAACAATGTATATACAAACAACATAACAATAGTACTTAATATATGAGCCGTATCACGACACTAACATAATGGGTTTGCGACCAGCATGGATCCAGACCAGCCTGCGCATCATCGCAGTCTGATCAGGATCAATGCTGTTCGCTATCAGTTTCTCTACTTGTTATAGGGTTTTTAAGCGAACAGCATGGATCCTGATCAGACTGCGCGGATGCGCAGGCTGGTCTGGATCCATGCTGGTTGCAAACCCATTATGTTGGTTTTTTCATGGAGCGGCTCATATATTATTTAAGAATGTTCTAGAAAGACAAAATATGTTTTATATAACCAAAAGCTATACTTGATTGCAAAACACATATTATTTTATGTTATAAAACACAATCTTACACGGAAGTAGTACATTGGGTCGTAAATAGAGAAAGAAGAAAAAATAATTTTATACACACTATGTACAGTTTTATATTGTTTGGTCCACACCACATTTATAGTCAATCAGGGTTGGGTTTTTTTTCGAAAAGAACGGTCCAGAAACGGGATTTCGTCGATTAAGATGTTTCGCTCGGAAACGAGACTCCATGACAAAGAGGCAAAGAAAAAAAACGAATAACATACCATAAATAACAACTTATTTTTAGATAAGCCTTGATTCAGTAATCAGTAAGAATCTTTTGTCAGGAATTGTTTGTAACATTCAAGCATGACGAAACAGATTTCTTGCATGCTCTCTGAATTTTGAACTCATAAGAACATACAAGACAGGGTTTATCACACTATTAATCATGTACATCTGCTTCATCATGAAAAGTAGTCCCGGCAAGTTGATGCTCATTGAGACCTCAACAATGGATGCAATCCACGTGATGAACCAAGTACTTGTATATATTACAGTAATAAGGAACATCATCAATGTCGTGCGATTTTTACGTTTCCTGTCTCTAGCCGCATCAGTCTTAATTTGTTTCAACCTTCTATCACAGTGGCTCTCTACCTTTGATATCTCTTCCTTAGAAATGACATCATTTCCGGTGAAATTCGGCTGTGGCACATTTATAGTTGCGATAGAAATAGTGTTCAATTTACTTGAACTTGCGTTTTCTATCCCATGATGCATAACGGTTCTGTTAAAGGAGACACATCGTGATTGACGGATGTTTTTTGCACTTTTTCCTCTTCCGGTCGGAGTATTAACATGACCCTCCGAAATGGGCACACATATTTGTACTTTTTTTCTTATCATGTATTTACTCGGTTGTCTAAACAATGAGGAAATTTTTCGTATAGCTCTTTTAGTATTTGTTTCTTGTCTAAGTTGATTCCTTTTCTTGTTGTGTTTAGTTAAAAAGTATGAGATTCTTGTGTAGCAAAAAGCTGTCACGCCAAACATACAGAGAAATATAGGCACCAAAACTGAGTCTAAAATGTATCCAATTGTTTCATGACTTTGTGTTCGTGAACACAGGCGCGTGTCTTCATCAAATGTTGTTGTGATCAGAGCGGATGTGCAGTATAAAATGCTGACAGTCGCTACGATTGCGCATTTCCGTTTAGCTATTTTGACCTCGTGTTTATGTGAAGTCATGGACACATTTCCGAAACTGGTAGTTTTGAAGCGATCATGAGCGATTAATGCAACCAAAATAGTTGAAAATACGCTAGTCACGTAGAGAAGGAAAACGTGCAGACGACAAAATACACTTGAAGCCAAGACATCCCATGTTGTTTGCTCGTAGCGTAGAATGTAACCAATTGTACATAAGGAGGAAGAAATCAAATCCGCGAAAGACAAAGCACACATGTATGTTTCTGTGCTTGCCTTTTCACGAAGTCTAGATAAAATGATAACAACGAAAGCATTAGCTGGAATTCCAACGGTTGCTATTCCAACCATAAAAGATATCAAAATGTATCTAGTCCATTCTGCTAAAATCGTTCCTTTGCTAGATATCTCTAGAATTGAGTAGTTCTTTAACGTGACGTTTTCCATTTTAGCAACGTATGTCTATACAAAGCTTAGAAGTTTGATGAGAACAAAATTGTGAATGAAAATGTTCAGTGTTAGCCGATGTTATATACATTCCATCACTTGGCAGTTTCGCTCACCTGATACATGCGCATTATGGAATCGATATTCAGGAGAGTGTACATGTTTTGTAGATCTTTAATCATTTCGTTTTATCTTGTGTGATTTATTAATTATCATTTGAATAAGTTTAATCATCATTACGATGTAACTCTTTACAATTCTAATTGAAGAAATGATATTTGGATCGAGATATATGCAATTATGAGCAAAACGCAACAAATCGTCAATCATCGGCCCTCTCCGTATATTTCGGATAAGATGCCTCGTACGTGGTGTACGAATACTTACCAACGCCATTCGCCCGGATTATCGTAAGGCAGTATTCCTGTATTCGCGAGAAAGTGACAAATGACATATCCCTCAGTAATTAGTGTATTTCTCCTTGTGAAAACCTTCTTCTGTAATGTTTTAAATTGACCCGAGTCACATAAATGGACAAAAAATAAATACAGACTATATTTTGAAATTTTACAACTGACAAAAAAAACCCCATAAATAATGGCGGACTTAGGTGACAGAAGGCAACATCCGTGGTGTTGTTTAAAGTTTGTAACACAAGAGGTGAGCCAAAATCATAATTAATTGCTGTTTCGTCATCATATACAACCTAAATTGTTTTGATGCGCCGTAAAACCAAACAGAACAGAACAAAGTGATTGAAGTAGCTGCAATATGTCACCTTATTATGCCGGAGGTCTATTCAAAGCAAAGTAGCCGAGATCAGATTGAGCAATCGTGTCATTAAGAATAGAAATTCGGGAAATCTCTATAACTCGTACTGATGGATGGATGATGAACATTTATGGTTCAGGTGAGCTTACTGAAATCTGCCCATCCCGCCACACCCTTTTAAAATGAATTGGTAAACACGTCATAATTATCAAAATAAGACAATAAAACAAAAACATCATTCAAAGTGGATATAGATGTTACACTAACAGTGCTGAAATTGCTGCAGAAATAAATGAGGATATTACACTCCTTAAAACAGGTGGTAGGTATTGCTGTGTTACATATACAATATATTGAAATTAATCAAGCAAGCAGGGTGGCCACACCGGGCATTAGTTACTTTGGGCACATTTTCATTGTTCTAAAAGACAATAACTTACAACATGTAATCTACAAGTCATATTAGGTGATTGACACGTGTATTTCAGATCGTCATTAACCTTTAACCTGCTGAATTTCTTAAACTTTCAGCTTCCATATTTTTGATATCAGACAATAGTTTGAAGTTTGTCAGCCAGAGATAAAGAACCCGGTCGGACTGCATGGACGTCCAGGCTGGCATGAAACTTTGTTAGGGGCAAAAGCACCAACAGGTTGTGGGTTAATTACGGGGTCGAAAATTACGAACCTTTTTCTTAATTCCTTACTTAGATTTATGGCGGAAAATTCTGCCAACACTTAAACATTTATACTATTGTCACGTTAATTACCTCACAAACTAGTTAGTTTTATATGAAAGAAATTATTTATCTCAAATGTATTTTCTGTTAAATTGGTTAATGAAAAAAAAAGTAAAATATATGCACCGAGTTGCCAATACTTACCAGCTAAAAAGTGACCATAACTGCACACGTCTACCAGTTAAATAAATGATAGATAATATTGTGTCTATCTGTATTTTTTTGTGTTACTTAAAGTGACATTATGCTCATATACGCATTGTCAAGTTGAGTTAAATATGGCGATTTTTCAGCTTTACTGGTGGAGGAATACCTCATTGGGGAAAGAAACAAATTACATGTATATGTATATCTTAGTTACATTACAAATTAGATCAAAGCGCTGAATGCACTGAATAAGACGGACAGAAATGCTCACATTTTACTCAAGTTTAGACATCTTGTACATCTCATTAAAATGCTTCACGTAAATATGAATATCTTATGCTGTAAGAGGTCTGATTTATCAAAAAATGTGTAAGTTGCTTATGCGATA